AATTACTACAAAAGTTGTAAACTTAATTATAATTGTAATTACAGTTCTAGGACTACACAATTAAATGTATACTAATTGGATTTGGACTCTAATTTTAATTAGAACTCCTATTTGAATGTAGAATTGTTATTTTATAAGAATTTGAACTCTTCTATATCTAGAAATAGAGATTAGATGGATCCTAGACATCTTATGGAATGAAATCGTACAACATTCATAATATATAATTTCATAGTGTTCAATGTTCAAATTTTGGAGAGAGAAAAAAATTATTTTTCTCGATTTTTTCAATTGTTCAGTTCGAGAATTGGTTTCTTGATTTAATTAAAAGAAGGTACCCATCCGTCAGTGTAGTCTTGACTTTAGAGAATACCATAGAAGAGTTGGAGGTTTGAAGTATCAAGTTCTTGAAATTAAAAAGTTGGAAGTTCAAGATCCAAAAGCTGGAAGTTTGTGATTTAGAATTTATTCAAGAACTGATAATCGAATTTAGGTAAAAATTCGCATACTTTGTTTTTAATATAATATACACATGAACATCTAGACAATCTCGTTTAATGCAGTCAATAGCTAAATCAAGTGCATCGGTAACTTGATATTTTCAGTAGAGTGTAGTGGAATTTTGAAAAAGAAACTGCAATGAATTGATTGACAGATATAAGGTAAGATTGATTGCTTAAAGCTACATACAAGAATTGCTAGTTTATTTTCTAGGTATGACAGTTACATCTATTTTTTTATATAAAAAATTAGAGAGACAAAAACTGGATATCTAGACAACTTTTGTTGGGGAATATTTATATCGCAGGAGGTTGGAGAAGAAATAAAGAATCATAAATTGAAGAAAAATTGATGAAGAACAACAAAGAAATCACCAGAATGTAAGATGAAGACTCAAACACACAATGGTTGTCCTCAAACGATATTTGCTCCTTCTAGGATTGAATTTGGTGCTTAATGGGATTCTTGGCAAATGATTTGTAGGATTAATTAAGTCTTGAAATAGAAAATTACTTAAAATCAAAACTTCAAGAACACAAAGAGAGAATTTTGAATATGGAGAAAAATTATGAATTCGTTTTTTTGGAATGAATGTCTGATCACAAGTTGTTTGATTCTTATGTTTTGATGTGATAATCCATAGGTTTATATAGGCTTCAATCATAACCCATGAAATGATGTCAAAAACCCATGAAAAGGTGTAAACTTTTCACAATCAACGGCCAAGAATTTAAACATAACAGCCAGTTTGTTCTATGCGATTGCTAGGCCACGTTTTTTGCCTCCAAATCCTGTTTCATTTCAAAGTCTCATTTTATTGATTTTAGACAACACCACAACATTTTTGCTATAGCACGAGAGGGGAGAGTTTGTAAATTAGTATTGCTATACAAATAATCTTGATTTTTGAAAGGAATTCATTAAATTATTGAGATTGTTAAAGAATATCAGAAAATTTTATTGCAATAAACCAAATACCTTGTTGAAATTAAAGGGTACAAGAATGCAAATTCAAACTTCACCTCTATCTATATAAAAGGTTGAGCCCAAATCTTGAAGGTCCCTATCGCCCTGCCCCTACAGTATCATGAGGGAGGTAAATCGCGGGATGTACCCTAACAGGCCAATGAACAATAGCTTGCCCAGTGTGGTTGTATAGCCGTGTCTTCAGATCCTCCACACAAACTCGTATGGAAATATTACGGAGGATTGGAATTTGAGTTTAAAGCTTTATAGAGCTGTAGAAAATAAGCATATGGCTTCGAAATTTCTTGAATTATTGGTTAAATTCTATGCCAAATTGTGCATTTATTATAATATTTAGCTACAACTGAAGGGGCTAGTTTGTGTCCTGTGATGGTAACATGGTAAGTAAAGATATGTACATCAAACACAGTATTGCTGGACACTTCTAGTGAATTATGTTGAGATTTGAGAACAATTTCTTGCTTTGTCCATAGGATCCTTGTTTAGAAAATTATGTAAAATCTAGAAAAAAAATATAAAATATAACAAAAAATACAAGATTTACGTGGAAAACGTCAAAATATGAAATAGGTAGATTTCCCTGGTCTACATAATAAAACAATAGCATCCTATGATAGTTTGGAGGAATCTACAAGCCTTCAAATAATTACTCATTGTCCGACTCAATGTTAATCATTGTGTCATTTTAGACTAGAGCATGAACAAATAATGCATCAATGTTGTCATCAAGCCCTATTATTTGTTTCCAACAGTAAGAGAATCTGAGTCTTTGAGATGCACATGAAAATAGCATACTAAGTTCTAACAAGAAATGCCTTTTGGCTTCTAAGGTTAGAGTTCAGTCCTACAACCTATTCAAGGTACTGTTTAATTGTCATTAGGGCATCCCTCAATCATAGTTAGCCCCTGTTTGGTTTTGATTAAAAAAAATAATCATATATTTAGTAAATTTTAATAAAAGTAGATGAAATGCGTGATTAAAATATTGATAAAAATTGTGAGTACCATAAAACGTGTGATTGAAATGAATTGAAAAATGAATTTTAAGAAATGTGAGCCAAATACGACACTTGTGCAGTCAAAGTGTAAAAGATTGTAATTAATAAATATTTAGTTTGATTACAATAATCTGCAAGTTTAATTGTTGGTATTTTTTAAATCTTAATATATTGTGTTATTAATCATGCACAGTTCTGCTGATGGGATATATCTGTTTTAATATGTATATATAATAAACGTATACCCATCCATCTGTCTTCTCTTTAATATTGACGTGTGAAAATTTGTCTATCTAGATGTTTATTCAAATTTTTAATCACATCTAAGGGGCAGAAAAGAAAACAAAGAAAAGATGAATGAAAATGACTTTTTTCTCATCTTTTCTACAATATATTTGTTTGGATTTGAATGTCAGGTCGCTGCATTCATAAATGATGCAAATCTATCGTATATTATATCAACAGTTAAGTGAATATAAATAAATAAATAAATAAATCTTCCTGGAGATAATTTGAGAGCAATTAATGTTTCAAAAGGGACAATGCATAAACATAACAATTAAGAAAATAATTAGGTCTCAAACGTTTGTCTTCGTCTTCATTAGATATAAATATCAATTAGTTCTTATCAAAATGCATTCTTCAGTAGCGATTTGATTCCACTTCAACGTTACATTCATTAATAAAATAATATTACAAGCAAGTTCATGAATTTCTTTATTTTTACAAATTTCTCATCAATACGCTATTCAAAAATGCATTTTTTTTTTTTTGCAAGAATGTGAATCAAACAAGGGTTAAATTTTAAGACCTAGAAAGTCCTATATTAATTGAAATCAAAGTGAATTAGTTAGTTTGATCAAATTCTCGTCCCGTTGAAGTGATTCAGAATAAACATTCTTTCTCTTATTTAAAATTAAGATAAACGGACGGATCAACGGTCTTATTTAATATCAAAATTTCAATCCTCTCCATGTAAATAAGACTCGGTGAGGAATAAAATATATTTAATGTCAATTTATTTAGATTAGACATTAACTTTTCTGCTTTTTCAAATAAAAGACATCAATCCAGCCTCGGGGAGAATAGTAGAATACACGCACAACATAGATAGGCTTGTGAAAGTGTCGGCAAGGAGGCCCCATGCAAAAATACCCTTTTTCTCAATTAAATTCGACAATTCGTGGTAGACTATATTGCTTGTGAAAGGAAAGAGATAACAAATGTCATATATTTGAAAGTTATAGCCCACCAAATCAATCATTCGAATTGCAAAAATATGTTTGTGTTGGAGAGTAATGTGTCCGTAACATACGGAGTATGTTTGGCACGGTTTTTGAAAAACTAAAAACTGTTTCTGAGATAAAAATTTTTTTGAATAATCTTCTGAAGATGTTTTGTTGGACTAGAATAACTTTATGAGGAAGTTGACATAAGTATATTCCTTATGAAACTCTCCTACAAGAAATAGAAGTAAAATCAAAAGCAAAAGTAGAAGTCCTATCTGACGGGTTCAGAGTATAGCAAACTTTGCTTTGGGGCTAAAATCTTTGTTTAACAAATGTTCTGAGTTACACAACTTTGTTTCTCGATTCTATTTGGAGCATCATTTAAAAGAGGTTATAATCAGATAAAAATCGATTAATCCATGTGAAATAAAATATAATTGTCAATAAATTATTAGAAAAATTCTAAATAACATTTTACTCAATAAAGGCAATCCAAACACACTACCACCACATATAACCAAACCTAAAGCAGAATCTAATCAAAATTGCACTCTTAATCCCTATTTCATTAGAAAATTTATACTTATTATCATTAAATAAAGATACATAATTAAATAACTAAATAGCTACATAAAACTCCTTCGCACTCTTATTTGGATGTCTTGGAGAAGTATGAAACCTCCAAAATAAATGTGCCTGTTTCCTAGGAACTGCTTAGGAAGTGAAAAGGAAGAAACCCCATCCTTCACATGCTATATACTATACTTGACGATGGCTCCACAACTTCCTCCTCTATTTTTTTTTTTTTTTTTTTTTAAATTTTTTTTTTTTTAATTTTTTTTTTTTTTTTTGAAAAAAAAAAAAAAGAAAATCTATTTTCTCGCCGATTTAGGAAAAAAATCAACATTGCCCATTCTTCTTGACAGGGTCCCTTTCTCAAAGGTTTAGGAGACTAAAACAAAGTTTGATCAACTTAAATTTTGGGAAAAAAGAAATAATAAAATGGTAAAACTTCATTAAATGAGAAGTGAAAATGGCATAAAATAACGTTCTCGATATATGATTCCAATTTCCAAGTCTTTCCAAAGGAAGAAACCCAAATCCATAAGCTATCTACTAAATATAAAAAGAATATTGTTATTCAAATATTTAATTTCTTATGCGTAGGTATCACAATACACAGATTGTACTCTTTTGTTTGTCTTCAAGTGGAGCGACATCGACCTCCATTTCTCTGACGGGACCCATAAATCCTCTTATTTATACCATGGTATATTGCCATACAATACATAATTCGTTTTATATATACTACGTACTCTTTCTTCTCTATTCAGTTCCTCTATGGCTCTTCTCCTTCTTTCTCTCTTTCTTATTTTTGTGTTCCCATTAAGAAATAATGCCGAGGGTCCACCTTCTCCAGGGTACTACCCCAGTTCAAGAATTGGCTCAATAGGGTTCAAACAAGGATATACCAATCTTTGGGGTCCTCAGCATCAAAGACTAGACCAAGGGGAACTCACTATTTGGCTTGACAGAACCTCAGGTACGTATCTATTCAAATTCTTACCCACAAAGGTTGCAGAAAAACTTCTAAAACGCTAACGATCCTCAATTTTCTTCGTTTGTTATTACAGGAAGTGGTTTCAAATCTCTCACTCCTTATAAATCCGGTTATTTTGGAACGGCGATGAAGCTCCAACCAGGCTATACTGCAGGAGTAATTACATCATTCTATGTGAGAAATTGAACTTATTATACTCCAACCTCTTCCCTTAATGAATTAAGGTTCGAGATTTTTTTTCTGATTTGAATTGCATGGCAGCTTTCGAACAATGAAGATTATCCAGGGAACCATGATGAGATAGACATTGAGTTCCTTGGAACCACAGAAGACAAGCCTTATACTGTGCAGACAAATGTTTATGTAAGAGGAAGTGGAGATGGAAATATCATAGGAAGAGAGATGAGATTTCATCTTTGGTTCGACCCTACTCAAAATTTCCACAATTATGCGATTCTGTGGAACCCCACAGAGATCATGTCGGTGCAATTTTACTGACCCCGCGCTTCTTTTATTTAAAGTCATATTTAGCTTATTTCGTTCAAAAAAATCCCAAAACTTTTTCGAGATTAAAGTTCAATTATGTAATAAATTTTGCAGTTGGTGGAAAAATTATTAATCATAAAGTAGATCACCTAAGAGCTAACTTTTTAGATAATACTAAAGTTAGGTTGAAATTAAAACGAAAGAATAGAAATCATGTGAAGAAAAAGATATTTTCATGATATGGAATAATCTTGTCCCATGCATGCATATCATTGATGTTCTAATAGATACGTGTTATACAGATAATAAAATATAATTGTCACAAGATGTTGATCTATGCAGATTTTTCGTGGATGATGTGCCAATTAGAAGGTACCCGAGAAAAAGCGATTCGACATTCCCAACAAGACATATGTGGGTGTACGGATCAATATGGGATGCCTCTTCATGGGCCACTGAGAACGGAAAATACAAAGCCGACTACAGTTATCAACCCTTCATAGGACGGTACAAAAATTTCAAAATATCCGGTTGTGATGCTAATGGCCCTGCCTCATGCCGCCCTCAGTCAGGTTCACAATCTGGCTCTAGTGGGCTGAGCAGCCAGCAGAATGAGGCCATGGCATGGGTGCAACGAAATTACAAGGTTTACGACTATTGTCACGATCCAGCTCGAGACCATACTCAAACACCCGAGTGCTAAGGGTGCACGGGCGCTTGACAAATTTCCAAGTTGAATCTCATATATATGTTTAGTCATTTTATTTGGAGTATCTTGAGATGGGCCACTTGCCAAGAATAGAGAAAAAGAGTGGTTGAAGCATCCAAGACTCCAAGATAATTGTATTTTTTTCTCTTTTTTGTGTTATTTATTTAAAATAATCCTATGGTGCAAGATTTAGAAGTGAGATGACAGTATGGTGTTGATACACCACAGAGATATGGGATCGATTGTGTCAAGTCATTATAGGTAAGCAAGTGTATGTATTGCATTTTTGTGCCTAATGTTTTCGCGTTAATTGTGTTTCGAAAATTAGAACTCGACAAAAACTTCAGGAAATGTTTCAAAACTTGAACAAAAAATAATTCCACTTCTTTTGTTTCTGTTAAAAAAAAAAAAAAAAATTAGCTCAAAAGAAAATTCATCGGTTATATTGGAAATGGTACTGAATCTTTTGTATATTTATATACTAATAAATTTAAACTTACTAAAATATTAAATTGCAGATAAATAAAATTATTTCGTTTGTTTGATCGATCAAAAGAAAATAAAAAAGAAAAGTAATAATGGCATCTATTAAAATTTGTTTTCAGAAATTACATACAAAAGAGTGATGTTCAAATAAGAGAAGCCAAGGAAAAGCTAATGTAGGAAAATATCATGATAAAATAGTCGACATCAAGAATGTTTGGTTTGCAATTAATCAACGCCCAACTACTTCCATTAACCTTTCTAATCAAATAATTATTGTAATGTCCAAATACAACTCCTAAAAGTTTCCATCAGCTGTAAAAATATGTTAAATATCCGTAGTTGAAAACTTAATTAACTTGAAAAGAATAAAATGTAGCCCTCGATAACAATGATGAACCAAGAACAATATAGTATCAATATTGACTTAGGTGGTTTAATTTTTGTAACGTGACCCTGTCACTGATTGATCTACTAAGTCAATGGTTGAATCAACAGGTCACTTTTTATTCTGAGTCTCGATAAATGCCATTTCATTTACCCCAAAAATGTATTTGAAAGTTGATAATCTTGACAACTAATAACTTCATGAATAAAGCAAGCATCCAAAAAAGTGAATTGTTTACTTCAAATTTCAACACAACAACTAAGTATTCATTGCAAAAATGGTGTCTCTAATTATTAAGGATTACTTAGTCTCATCATAGAATTTCATCAACTTGTATGAATGATGAAGTCTCAGTCATGCTAAAGTCTGGTTTGCATGGGTGGACAACCTACCTACATTTTCATTGTCACTGGTTTTCATATCACCAAAACATAATTCATCTACGAAACACCGTACATATTCTTGATGAAACTTGGAAGAGACTTTTCTTTGAATACAAGTCTACTTATTGTTAGAAGAGTTTTGCTATGTGTACACCGGGGTGTACAACACCCCCGTGTACAGACCCCTCACAATAAGAGGGGTCGCGATTTTTTTATTAGACGCAGCTCCTTATTGTGAGGTGACACCTCAATGTACAAATTGTTGGAAAAATAAGTGAATTGGCTCAATTTTAGCACAATTTTCAGTGGGATCCGTTGGTCCAATTTGGAATATCAAAGTTGATATATATTCTCCTCCACGAGAACATCGAAATCATGTATTTATTTGCCAAAAATGAAGCTCGGGTGAATGAGAAATTGGAGTCTAAAGTGAACCATTGGAAATGATCTATGTTGGTGGAAAAACTTTGTCTCACATAAGAAAAACATGGAAATCGAAACCACTCTATAAATGACTATGCATTGAAATGGTGTGATCATGTGTAGCATAAAGGCTCTCTCCACGTGCGCGCAGGAGGGGTGCAAATCACAGACAGAAATAATCTTCGGACCTTGAACTTGAGTGCGGGTGCGACCTGCGCACGCGAATGTTGGACCGAACGGAGCAAAAACTGGCTAGTTTGGATTGTCCGCATTTTGCAATTTTTTTTGTGGTTTTTCCAAATGACTTTTGAGTGTCTGAAACTCCTAAAACTTCAATGATCGATATCGAAATGTAACTCCAAAAACTGCAATAGTTAATGCAGAAAATTAAGGGTCAAATTCAGTCTATATAATTCACTCAATTTTCAGCAGTTCAAACACTGAAAATTTTCGTCTGCAATTTCCAGCCTGTTTTCTGTTTTGTTCCGTCTCATTCCAGTAAGATGATATTGTTCGAACACTCGCCCAGTTTGTCGGAATAGAATCGTGGTGCTCGGATTTTGCTGGTTACCGTTGTATCCTGGGAGATAGGCGCTTGAACTAAACCTCTAGCACCACGGTGAGGGGGCAAATTTGTCTTAAGAAAACTGTATTTACACAGGCCTCAAGTTGAAATTATATCTGTCATTTATTTAGTTTGCAATTTTGCAGATTTATTTGTTAAATTTGCAACATACTTGAAATTTATGTTAGAAATAGATAAATAAAATAAACTTTTTTTTTAATTCGTTATATGTGTGAAAATTAGATTTCACATATACGGAATTTCTATTTGAAAGTGAAAAAAATTGTGTTATTTTAGTTAGTGTATAAATAAAAACATTTTATGCAAATTTTTGTGCAAATATGGTGAGCTTTGCCTGCACATATATTAAGTTGTCATATACGGTGAGTTGCACTGTCAAATACAGTGAGATGCAAATACAGTGAGTTGCACTGTCAAATATGGTGAGTTGCACTGCCAAATACGGTAAGTGTGAATCCGATGTCTAAAACACAAATATGGTGGCCCGATTCCACTCCAAACACTACCGATTAGATATAACAACAAACTTAAGACAAATTTTCTTAATATGTATTGGTAGTAAACAAGTTTATTTGTTTATTGGAAACTAATAGTTGTTTAATTTTCAGAACTGGCTGCCGAATCAACCAACATGGATGTGACACAAACTGTTCCTGCTGGAAATAAAGTGGTGGGCTCTACTATGGCTCAAGGGCCAAGCTCTGCTTGGCTAACTTGCCTAGTCGTGTTGTGAGTCAAACTGTGACTCCAACAACTAGCCAAACGGTTACTGTTTCGGTTAATCCTAGAGAGAAATCGGAGAAATTCAATAACTTGAATTTCAAGAGGTGGCAGCAGAAAATGTTGTTTTACCTGATCACCTTGAATCTTGCGAGATTCTTGATTGAGACTGCTCCTTTACTCAATGAAGAAAAATGAGATATTCAAGCAGTCAGTGCACTTGATGCTTGGAAGCATTTGGACTTTTTATGTCGAAACTACATTATGAATAGTTTAGCAGACACGCTATACAATGTGTATGGCACGATGAAAACTGTTAAGGAATTGTGGGAGTCTTTAGACCTAAAATACAAAATTTAGGATGCCGGGGCTAAAAAGTTTATAATCGACAGATTCCTAGACTATAAGATGGTGGACTCCAAAACTGTTATCAGTCAAGTGCAAGAACTTTAAGTGATTCTTCATAAAATCCATGCCGAAGGAATGGTGTTGAGTGAAACCTTTCAAGTGGCAGCAATTATTGAAAATTGCCCCCTTCATAGAAAGATTTTAAAAACTCTTTGAAACACAAACGAAAGGAAATGAACGTTGAAGAACTTATTGTTAGACTTCGAATTAAAGAAGACAACAAAAGTTCAGAAAATAAGTGGTTCAATCTTGGTGTTGCTAAAGTCAATGTTGTGGAGCATGGTCAAAGCAGTAAGAGTTACAAAAATAAGTTTAGACCATTTAGTGGAAAAAAGACCAAGCATGGACCGAAAGGTGGAATTTTTAAGAAGAATTTTTAAGGGAAATGCTTCAATTGTGACAAAGTAGGCCACAAGTCTTCGGAGTACAGAATGCCAAAGAAGAAGACGAAAGAAGCAAATATGATTGATTACATGGCACAAGATGTCTCAGAAATGAATCTCGCAGTCGTCATTTCTGAAATGACCATGGTGGGTTCAAACCTTAAGAAATGGTGGATTAACACCGGTGCTACAAGGCATGTGTGCTCTGATAAAGAGCTGTTTGCTATGTTTGAAGCAATTGAGAACGGGGAGAAGCTGTTCATGGAAAATTCAGTAATGTCTGAAATCAAGGGTCAAGGAAAGGTGATTCTAAAGATGACATCGGGAAAGGAGCTAACTCTCAACAATGTGCTATATGTGCCGAAAATTTATAAGAATTTAGTGTCCGGGTCTCTTTTGAATAAGCATGATTTTCGCATTGTATTTGAGTCAGACAAAGCCATTCTATCAAAAAGTGAAATGTTTGTTAGAAAAAGTTATGTTTCTAATGGTATGTTTAAGTTGAATGTAATGGTTGTGAAACCAAAAATGAATAAAGCAAATTCTTCTGCTTATTTGCTTGAGTCTTCCAGTTTGTGGTATGGTAGATTAGGACATGTTAACTATGATACTTTACGTAGACTAGTTAACTCGAATAGCATATCCAAGTTCCATAATGATTCCGAACATAAGTGTGAAACTTGTGTTGAGACAAAACTGACAAGGTCATCTTTTAAGTCAGTTGAATGGAACATAGAACCATTTGATTTAATTCACAGTGATGTTTATGACTTAAAACTTGTACAAACAAGAGATGGCAACAAGTATTTTATTACTTTTGTCGACGATGGCACAAAATACTGTTATGTGTATCTGCTTAAAAGCAATGATGAAGCTATAGAGAAATTTGTTCTCTATAAGAATGAAGTTGAAACTCAATTTAATAAGAAAATTAAGGTACTACGAAGTGATTGAGGTAGTGAGTATGAAGCACCGTTTGCCGGTTTCTGTGCACAACACTGAATCATACATGAAATCACCGCACCTTATTCACCGCAACAAAACGGTGTAGCTGAACGAAAAAATCGTACCTTAAAAGAAATGATGAATGCAATGCTAGTAAGTTCTGGGTTACCGCATAACATGTGGGGGGAAGCTGTGTTATCAGCAAATTACCTTTTAAATAAGGTGCCTTGAAAGAAATCGGAAATACCTTTTATGAGTTATGGAAAGGAAGAAAGTCTACCTATAAACACTTGCAAGTGTGGGGGTGTCGTGCAAAAGTGGCTGTTCCAACACTAAAGAAGGTAAGGATAGGCCCGAAAACTATAGACTGCGTCTTCATTGGCTATGCATGTAATAGTAGTGCTTATCGATTTCTTGTGTACGTTTCAAAAATTCCAGATATACACAAAAACATAATAATGGAATCGAAAAATGCTTCATTCTTTGAATAAGTATTTTCATACAAGTTCAAAGAGAAAGGAAGCTCTTTTAAATGAATATATGAGACAATGACTGAAAATAGTTATGACGAAAAATTAGAAGAGGAGAATGAGGTTAGACGCAGCAAACAGGAAACGACGGAAAAGTCTTATGGTCCTGATTTTCTGACCTATATGCTAGAAAGCGAACCTTAAAGCTATCAAGAAGCTATGAATTCCTCGAAAGGACCTCAATGGAAATATGCCATTAAAGGTGAAATAGATTTTATACTGCAAAATCATACATGGGAGCTAGTGAATCTTCCTCCTGGATCGGGCCTAAATTCTCTTGTTGTACAGCTATTATTTGGCAATGCTTAGGAACTCATTAGAAGAGGTGTGACACCACAAGTAAATACCCATTAAAAGCTCCAAACAGGGCAAACAAAGTATAACTTTTAAACCTGATTCTAAGCCCTAGCAATATCCTAAAACGAGTAAATACATGATACAATAGGAAAAAGAAAATTAACTTTCACTTCAAAACTGAAATTCAAGGCCAATTGACAGAACTATGCTGATGAGGTTTTAGTTCTAATAACAAAGGGGGAAATGAATCTTTTTTATCGCATATGACATATTAATCAATCATTAACAGCTCCATGGCCGACAAAATCTAACTTTTAAACTCAAACTTATGACCTAGAGAAGCAAAATCGGAAGATGAGAAAATAGACAATGAAATCAGGAGAAATTGTAACTTTTACAGCTCGAATCCAAGGCATATTGAAAGAAACTGCAATGAGGGGGCAATAATTTACCATTAAAAAAGATTTACTTTCTATCCACACAGAAAAACATAACCTTCTTCGGATTGTCGAGGTTCGTTTTTGCCCGTGTTTATGTTTCTAACGCTGCCTTGGAGTTCAAGTTAGGGTTCCTAAATGCGTCCAAAAATTTGTACCAACGTGCAAGATTTGTTGGAAAAATGAGTGAACTGGCTCACTTTTGGCACAATTTTCGGTGGGACCCGTTGGTCCAATTTAAAATATCAAAGTTGATATGTGTTCTCCTCCGCTAGACCATCGAAGTCATGTATTTATTTGCCAAAAATGAAGCTCGGGTGAAGAAGAAATTGGAGTCTAAAGTGGACCATTGGAAATGGTCTATGTTGGTGGGAAAACTTTGCTCCAGATATGAAAAACATGGAAACCAAAATCATTTTATATATGGCTATGCATTGGAATGGTGTAATCATTTGTAGCATAGAGGCTCTCTCCACGTGTGCTCGCAGGGGGGTGCAAATCACGAACAGAAATAGCCTTCAAACCTTGAACTTGAGTGTGCACGGGAATGTCGAACCGAACGAAGCAAAAACTGGCCAATTTGGATTGTCCGCGTTTTGCAATTATTTTTTTTTTTTGTGGTTTTTCCAAATGACTTTTGAGTGTCTGAAACTCCTAAAACTCCAATGGTCGAAACCGAAATGTAACTCCAAAAACTGCAATGGTTAATGTAGAAAACTAAGGGTCAAATTCAGTCTATATAATTTACTCAATTTCCAGCAGTTCAAACACTGAAAATTTTCGTCTGCAATTTCCAGCATGTTTTCTGTTTTGTTCCGTTTCATTCTAGTAAGGTAATATTGTGCGAACACTCGCCTAGTTCGCCGGAGTAGAATCGCAGTGCTCGAATTCTGTTGGTTACCATTGTATCTTGGGAGACAAGCGCTCGAACGAAACCTCTAGCACCACGGTGAAGGGGCGAATTTATCTTAAAAAAATTGTGTTTACATAGGCCTAGGGTTGAAAATTATATCTGCTATTTATTTAGTTTGCAATTTTGCAGATTTATTTATTTAATTTGCAACATAGTTGAAATTTATGTTAGAAATAGATAAATAAAATAAACTGTTTTTTTTAACTCATTATATGTGTGAAAAATAGATTTCAAATATACATAATTTCTATTTGAAAATGAAAAAATTTGTGTTATTTTAATTAGTGTATAAATAAAAACACTTTATGCATTTTTTTGTGCAAATACGGTGAGTTTCGCCTGCACATACAGTAAGCTGCCATATACGGTGAGTTGCACTGTCAAATACAGTAAGCAATTGTCAAATACGGTAAGTGTAAATCTGGTGTTTAAAACACAAATAAGGTAGCCCGATTCCACTCCAAACACTACCGATTAGATATAATAACACAAATAACAAAATCCTTGGTTAGAATATTGCCTAAGAAAGAGCTAAATCTTGTAGAATAAAGTAGATTTTGTCATATCTTTTCATATACTCAAAATTTTTGCTTTTGACAATTTATAACTTTTCTCATCTATTTTATTTTTTTATCACTTTAATATATCTCTAAACAAAAATCATGTTAGCAAATCACTAAATTGATATCAAATACAACACTCAAAAGAATTTAGTTGAAAGATAACCACCCCATTCAACTTGATCCACGCAGTGAAAATGGGCTACCAAGAGAAATTCATGACCATTATCTTAGGCGTGATCTTCCCTTGCCTTAGTTCTTCTATTTGTTTTCTTGCAAATATTCCTTATTCTAGATTCACCAAACGGAAGATTTAGATTTCAAAAAATGGTCGACAGCTTTATCCGGGGAGATAGCTTGGAATAAGGTGGATTTTTTGACCCAGGGTATGTTTGATTGTAAGTAAGGAAGGAAATTAAGTTCTAAGCAAGTGCATGAAAAATATTAATTAAACTTGTTTGATTAGTTTAATTTTCAATCTAAAAAATGTTATATTTGTCCATTTTTTATTAGTAGATAAATGAGAGAAATGGAGTACATGAAAGAGAGAGAGTGGGTGAGTGAGTGAATTGCCTAAAAAATAAGAACTTATCCCTCTCCAAAGAAAACATTTTCCTTATTTTCGAGGAAAATATAGTCACGTAGCCAACTTTTGAAAAACATTTTTCATAGAAAAAATATCAATCAAATATCCGATAAGTAGAAACTTAGGTAACAAAAGGATATTTTTCATCGAAAATAAAGTGAATCAAATGCACCCTAACAAAATTTCGTCAAAAATATTGAAGAAATATCATTTTCATGATTATGTCCCTCCTCTTCAAAATTTCCAAAGAATGTTCCTACTTGTACGCTGAACCACGGGCCATAGTATCAGGCCAACATTTTGATTTCCTTGGGATCATGGGCAGGCCTATCGAAGCCCCAAGCGAACCCACTAAAATAAATCTATACTAACCATCACAATTGTTTGAAAGGTTGACAGTTTCTTTCTTTACCCCTATACTTAGCCTTATATGGTGAATCAAAGCACTCATAGTCTTCTAGTTAGGAATCCAGACACGTTGCTCCATTTTTGCCACCCAATAAAATCTTGACTTATCGTTACAATTTTGAGATGTCGCAACTGCACTTCAAAATTTGTACCGAGGCTTGGCAGGGTACTTAGCTATTGGACAAATATCTTAAAATCTCAAAAGATGAAATATCAAGATTTTATTGTGCACCTGTTTGACAACTACTTTTTTAAAACTCTTTTTTTTTCTGATACTCATTTTCAATCATACATTCTCATAATAATAATCTTCACGTAAACCCAAAACTTTTTTTCTACTTTTAGTCACATTCTTCAAAAATTTACTATTTAAAAACGCATTCTAAAAAAAATGACTGTCAGATAAAGTCTGAGGCAATTAAAAGACCGCCACAATTGGATAACAAATTCGAATTTTATATTTGGGAATCACTGCTAGATCTCTCCATTAAGTAAATGAGTAATATTATTCATAGTAAAAACTATTAATAATTTCTTTACGTGGCACACTCAGGGTCACTCTGTTATTTGATGCACAAAACAATAAAAAAAAATTACAACATTAATGCATCAAATAATAAAACGACATATATACCATGTAAGACGACTATCGATAGTTTTCATTATGAATAGCATTATTTTAAGTGAATAGAGAAATACTACATATACACTTAGGTTTGTCCACCAACATATAAAATTTTCTCACCTCTATATTTTTCTGCATTCCATCACCTAAGTGTACAAGTAACATTTTTGAAGTAAATATTCTCCCCTGTTTTTCATTCTTTTCTCATTAAAATAAAAAATATAACTATTATCTATCATATTAAATCACCAAATTTAAATTTTTGTCTTTTGTGCGGAACCCAAAAAGACTATAATTTTCATATTTATTTTTAAAATAATGGAAATAAACGCCTCCTTAGTAGAGCAATGGTTACCTACCAGCACTTAAGGCCACTATCCCCATTTCCCCATTAAAAACTCTGACACAATTCAACTGTGCCACCGCCCTTCGCCCCATCCTTACACAAAATTTATGACAATCCTAAGGGAAAGAAAAACGACAAACTTATAATCTATACTCTTTTTTTTTTTTTTTTTTGATAACCCAGGTGTCCCAGTTTAGCCGCACTAAATCCTGGACCTCTAGCTCCCGGCCCCTCAGTGACTAGTGGAGGTAAATCGCAGGTTGTGCCCTTGTTGATTCCCAGGTTCCCACATGGCTTTTACTCCTTCCCCAAAGGGACCCTCCTCCATGGTTATTACATCACCAAGCTGCTCCAACCAGGAATCGAACTCCCCACACTTGATTCCAGAGCCCCTCAATGTGATTGTTCCGCCAACTTGGATGTGCCCTGAGGGGCAACTTATAATCTATACTCACATTTTCTTAAGATGGTTCAAATGGAACAAAAGAATACTCCAATAATAAATTAGCTGCACTCATATGGACCTCCCTTCCCTTAAATGTACAATTTTAATTTTCACCAATAAACCATTCCTCTTCACATGCTCAACATTAAACTGTGTCCCCTCGGGCCAAAAGAGGAACAATCCGATCACATCAAGCCAACTCAGCAGCAAGATCCTACGTGGCAACATTGAAAATAAATATCGGGTCCCACATTTTGTGAGCAATTCAATAATTCACAGCTGTCACTGTACACAGCCTTACCGTCCACGTCAAAAAAAGGGGACCTCAATCTGGCAGCCTATTGCACCCAATCAAAACCTGCCATGTTTCGTAATTTCATTGGCTCGAAACCTTTGACCTCTTGTGGGACCTGTCTAGCTTCTCCGATAGGGCAACAAGAACTTGGAATGTAGCGTCGCCTTCTCCCATTGGATTGTTGAAAAGTAGGGCCTTCCTAACATTCGGGTCCCACAGGTTTTTCTGTATTGTTGTGAGATTGGTGGCTGCGACATGTTCAAGGATTTTTCCCAACTTTTTCACGTCCTTCTCCGCCGCCGTAAGGGATATCTCCGCCCATGGTATGGCGGAGGGGAATGGTAAACGGATACCATCCGAAATAATGACCGGAACACATCCGAGGACCACGGATTCTACAAGTCTTGGACTCCAAGGGGCCCACCCTAATGGCGCCAAACAAAAGATTGAATTTGCAATCTCTAACTGGTAACCAGCTAATCTGTGTCTTCTTAAGTAAAATCTCCGGTTATTGCCATATTTCTGTAATATCATTGTCCTCACTCGCCTGAAAGAAAAACAAGGCAGGGTTAACATTGTCATTTCGCATGGAAACAGTAATATGAAATAAATGATCTGTTGAATAATTGAATGAACCAGTACTTGCTATAAAAACGACCACTGATATTTTTAGGGTGGACCTCAATTTTACCCCTAAAGAACGCAAAAATTTTACGCCGGTCCGTCAACGGCGATTTCTCCAGGGTGGAGCGTACATTTTCCGGTGAAACATACGGAGGAATCACCACATTCTCCACTTCTTGACATGGGTGCTTATAATTGACTCCAAAAGTTTGCAATATTATTGAATTCCTCAAAAACTCTGGCACACTATCAGCCATTGCCATATCCTCCTGTGAAAAAATTTCAAACTGCATATTTACCCATCGAGAAACCCAAATAGAGCAAAATAGCTTTTTGCCCAAAAATGATTAATCTTGCTTACCATGGTGTGAAAACAAGAACCAAAATCATGGGATGCAACGAAAATATGGTCAGAGCCAAGGCTGCGCTTCCAAAACGGAAGCTGAGACGAAATGTGCTGCACGGCGGAGGCTAGAAGAGGACGTGCATGACCAATGTCCGGGAAGCCATTGACTCTGCTAAAATTGCACGACACGTAAACAGGCACAAAGAAAAAGTCAGCATCCCATGGATCCAATGTTCTTACATCGCTGTTCATCAATGCTTTGTGAATAGCCACCTCCGATGCAAACCAATGGTTGCTGCACCGCTCATTTGAAAGCCAATAACTGTTATATTCTGATGGTAAATCGTAAATATACACCTTCATCCCCTTCAATAAACCTGCAATAAAATTATGAAGAAATAATCTTTCATAACCCGGCCACGATATGTTGATAAAAATGATGAGACTTTTTGTGTACCTTCTGGGCTTTTGGGCTTCAGAGTCAATTCTTCAATGAGAGCACGACTGGCTTTGGAAGGAAAAACAGTGGCTTTCGAAATAAAGGTGGGGGTGGGTTTGGTTTGGGTGATAAAGAAAGACGAAAAGAGGTAAAATGCAAGAGAAAACCAAAGAACCCATTTGAAAGATATGTAACAAAAACTCTTCTCTGGGTTTCTGCCGTGTCTGGTGTTGTGCAAAAACCTAATCCTCACACAGAAGCCTCTGCTTCTGTATGGTGTTTTGGAGGCTAAAATATTCATTGTCCTCTCCATTAAACCTCTCAACAGAGAGATGTAGGTGAGAAACAAAGCCTTCTGTAAATGGCCAAATGGGTTCTTTGATGTTTTTCGCTTTTGCTTCAAAATTATGAATAAAAATTAAAAGCCTGATCTATCTTGCAATTGTATATTGATAAAACATGGCTAGTTCCAAGAAAAAAATAATCATGTAGTTGCATAGAGAGAGAGAGGGAGAGAGAGGTCACATTGTGATACAGCAGAAAAAGAATCGGCATCTGTCTCGGTTTTTTCAGCTCATTTGAGCTTTTCGGTATTCCAACTTATGAAATGACGAAATTATCCTCATCCGCGTTTTAGTTTTCTTTTTGAATATTCCAATTATGCATTAGCTATTTTAAAACTTGTGAATTATGAAATTATTATTAGAGTACCTGCAAGAGGTACGAGAAATTTTCTATTTTAAAAAGTCAATTTTTAAAATCATATTTCAAAGGATTATATAAATTAGCATTTTAATTTAAAGAGTAAATTAGGAGAGCCAAACTCATTTTTTATAATTAAATGCATTTTAAATATTTCAATTTTTAATGTAGAAAAATAATATAATAATTTAGAGAAAAAGTACCTGCAAGAGGTACGAGAAATTTTCTATTTTAAAAAGTCAATTTTTAAAATCATATTTCAAAGGATTATATAAATTAGCATTTTAATTTAAAGAGTAAATTAGGAGAGCCAAACTCATTTTTTATAATTAAATGCATTTTAAATATTTCAATTTTTAATGTAGAAAAATAATATAATAATTTAGAGAAAAATTAGCTAAAATAAAGTATTAAGAAAAAATAATAAATGTTTTTTGAAAATAGTAAAATTAAGTGTTAAATTGAATTGCTGCCATAACTGCACCAGACACTACAGCATCTGGTGCCTCTAGGGCCCTTTTTTTTTTTTTTTAAGGCATTAGTCGACAGATTATTGTCAAGTGTCGCATGTATCAATTCCCACAGTAATTTTTTTGTACATATAACAAATTTGTAAATTTAAAAAGCATGTTAAAGTGATTCAAAACTTTTACTCTTTAAATTTGTAGATTTTTCTAAATGATAGAATATGCTCTTTAAAAATAAAAAAATCTTTTGGAGACGTTCTTAAATGCTTGCTACCTGTGAATTAACTCACTTCTCTTGCACGAGTAACATTTTGAAATAATCACTTACCAATAAGGGGCTAGTAATTTTCTTACTCTTGATCTAGTTTTGATCGATTTAAATCATACTTTTGAACATATTAATTTATTGAAGACAAAGAAAGTTTATTTGTCACTTAGAGAAATAACAAATATAAATATCATCGTGATGAATAAAAAAATGTCGGAATCAATCTACCCATAATTTTAATTTTCCTTTCATTTTTTTGGCATTCTTCAGTGCTATAATACCTCTAATGAATAACACTACTACACATAGAAAATGACCATTTATCCTCTCATTATCCCAAAGTTCACCTAGAAATTTCTAGATAAGGATAGTAAGCTTATTCCAAAACGATTTGTCTTCTCTAGTTATAATTAAATTACGCGTAATAGATTTAAACCACTCAATTTCAATCGAATGGGGTTAGTGGGGCATCTCCATAATGAAAAAAACAACGAAGAAAAGTAGAATTATTGTCTTGCACTACAACAAAAAGCACTTTTTACAGTGTGCATTACATGCCGTAAAAACACCTTTATGGCGTGCGGCGGCGCGCCGTATAAAGCAATGCCGTAAAAGGTGTCCACTTTTTACGGCGTGCAATGTACGCCATATACGAACACCATTATTAGTTATAATATTTTTTAAATATGAATTTTTTTACTTTTAATGGCGTGCTTTTGCACGCCGTAAATTGGAGTTTTACTGCACGCCGTGAAAGGTGGCCCGGTAGCATTTACCGCGTGCTTTTTGCACACCATAAATGTTAGTTTAATTTTTAAAATTTATTTATTTATTTATTTGATTACCAGCACCTATAATAATTACACAAATTCAATTCCAACTCGACTAAGATGAAAATAAAAATATTTTTGAGTACAAGCTAGCATGATAAATAACATTAAACTAATTAATTATTCTAAGCTTAGATGAAAAAATTAACTCAAACATTTATCATATAAATAAAATATTCCAACCAATGTAACAAATACTTTCCATTCCCTCAACCAACGGACATAAGTTCAACCAAAACAAATAAGTTATTTTACAAACAAAAAAATGCTTTTCAACCACATGAGAGAAGCTCAACGTATCATTGTTCACAAAAAGAACAGGAAGATATTCCAAACAAGAAAGAAATATAGATAGGGAGGGAGTAAACAACAAAAAATGAACAGAAAACTGTGGTCCATTAAGTAATGCAGCCATAGATACAGTATACTGTTGGCATTTCTTAAACAAAATATAAATTTTATCTGCAGAAAACTAAGCTATGTTTTGCTCATATTTATAAACTGTTTATAAACACATATCCATACGTTTTGAGAGACCCACAAGTACTATCAATTTATTTACTCCTAATTTCTATCCATTTATAATTTGACCTGTTAATAAACACTTCCAAAGCACACTTTTAGTACTTTTAAGAGTTCTAAACATGCTAAAGTAAGCCCTTCTGTGCATCTACTTCATGCTCATTATTGTATATTATTTAATGGTCTATAACTTTTAATCTAACATTGCATGTGGCAGATGCACTGGAATTTAGCAAAATTGTTGCCTTCCGTTTCTATTGCTTGAAGTAACAAGCTGACATTATACTAAAATCGGAAGCACCATTATGATTTTACCTTTTTTTAAAATTTTTGAGATTGTACTGGGTGTATGTGGATTAAGTGGTGTTAATGAACTTCTTAATTTGCCTATTCCATCGTCTTGTGCACCTCCGACTTCTAAACACATAATTGATTGTTGCTATTGAAGTATTACTCACTTATTACTCCGTTGCTCAAATTGGGAAAAATTGAAAGTTTCATTTTTCAACGTCTTAAAACAACTAAGCTTTTGGATGTAAATTGCAGAATGTGCCTTATGTTTTTGTCCCATCAAAGCAAGCTCTTGGTCGTGCATGAGGAGTTACGAGACCTGTAATTGCTTGTTCTGTGACAAGCAATGAGGGAAGCCAGTTGAAATCTCAAATTCTGCAATTGAAGGTAATTTGTAAATGGTTGGTTTTACATTTCTCACAAGTTCACCAATTTCCACAAATTACTAACAATTTTATTAAAATTTTTATCTTGTGAAATGCAGGATGCCATCGAGAAGCTCTTGATCTAAATATGATGCACAGAAGGGCTTACTTTAGTATACTAAACTAAGAACCCGACTACCAGTCAATGTATATAAATGGCTATTGAATCACCAAAAAAGAACCTATGAAAGCAACTAAAACTCCATATGGCTAAGCTGCAGATTAATGTTTATTAATAGCATATTCACTACAATTTTAGCAAAGATAAAATGTCAAAAAAATCTTTGTTCTTTTTCTCCTTTATTTGGATATGAGACAGCAAGATGTGCTGGTCAAAAGGCATTTTGAATGTAGTATATGGGAGACTATAGCTTGCCCATGTCATCACATTTAAAATATTTGCTTGAAGTGGTTCCAACAATTTGAGATGACTACAAACACTAGAAACATGTACATTGTTGGGAAACTAGAAAATGTAATGAGTATGGCCACAGGATGTTAACTAATCTAAATAATCAAAACCTCAAATCACATATTCACAAATTATCAATAATAGCAAATCAAACCTCAAATCACAAATTCACAAATTACAATATTAAAAATGTAAATCACCAATTAATATATACATAAATCACAAATCACCAAGCAATCCATAAATGTACTAAAAGCTCTGAAAAAAAGAGAGAAGAAAGGGCTCACATGAGCCGGCGGCACTCGGGCGGAAGTCACGGACAGATGGACGGTAACGACTGAGGTTGAAGAAAGCCGAAGGGGATTTGGGAAAAAAGTGAGATAAGAGGGAGGAAGGTACTAGGGAAGAATAAGTTATATGGACGCTAATGAAACGAGGGAAATTAAAAGGGGGGAAATATGAACGACATTTATGGCGTGTGTAAATGTGTTAATATGGACGGCATTTTCGACGTGCTTATGCACATCGTAATAAGTGAAATTTATTTTTTCTAATACGGCATGCCCCAGCAAGCACGTCGTAAATTCTCACATTTACGACGTGCAACTAATGTACGCCGTAAATGGTTTTATTAGTTGATTTTCCACAGCTTACATAATTCGCACACCGTAAATAGAGGTTTTTTACGGTATGCAATAAATGCACGCCGTAAATGTACGCCTTAAAAAGCTCCTTATGTTGTAGTGTTGGTCTAGACACGACAATTATGTACCCAACAGAATTAACTGTCTACTTCGTGATCACAAGGATGACCATTAATCTTCTTAATATCTCCGTGGAATGAAAGTTTTTTTTGCCTTATAGATTAAAGAACAAGAACACATTATATCCCACTCAAATTTATTTTATTTAACAATTTTAAATTGCAGATGTCATTAATCATATTAATTAGCCATGTTAGTAGGTTTAGAATTGGGTATCAATCATATTCATTTTTCTTGAACTTCAAGTTAAAATGAATAAAAAAATTGATTTTAATAAGTTAATAATGCATTGAAAAATAAACAATTGACAACATTAGGTTTGTTTTCAACATCATAGAATGTGTTAGGTCTAAAGGTGCAATTGGCGATTCTGTGGACAAAAGGACTAAATTGTAAATTTGTAAAAGTTGGGGACTCAATTGTACAATGTTATAAAAGTCAGGGACTTAGGGTGCAATTTAGCAAAACTAGATGGTAGGGACTAGGGTTTGAGTGTTTGGTTCAAATCAAGGTCGCGGCGCCGGAAGTTCGCTAGCTGTTCGCCCTGCCACCACTCGAGCGAAAGGAAACAGAATGGTCACCGCTCGATGTTCGCTCGAGCGAAGTGGCGTCACTCGTTGTTCGCTTGCTTTTCACTCAAGCAACGGTATTATATGAAAATTTGTATTTTCGATTTCTGAAAAGTTTGAGACGGCCTAGGACTCCTAATTACCCCCAACTATAAATATAAAGGCCGTGAACGTGAAATATAGATGGTCATATTGTGCTTTACATAGATATCATCTTCAATATTCTCTCAAGTGATCCAAAGCAGAACTGAACAAGGAATTCATCTATAAACACCTTGTGATCCGGGCAATCAACTGTTCGGGAAAACATCACTATTTG